ATCATAATTCATATAATACACCGAGTATATACAGAGAGAGCTTACTGTAATATTATACTATATCATAATTCATATAATACACCGAGTATATACAGAGAGAGAGCTTACTGTAATATTATACTATATCATAATTCATATAATACACCGAGTATATACAGAGAGAGCTTACTATAATATTATATTATATCATAATTCATATAATACACCGAGTATATACAGAGAGAGCTTACTGTAATATTATATTATATCATAATTCATATAATACACCGAGTATATACAGAGAGAGCTTACTGTAATATTATATTATATCATAATTCATATAATACACCGAGTATATACAGAGAGAGCTTACTGTAATATTATATTATATCATAATTCATATAATACACAGTATATATAGAGAGCTTACTGTACTATTATATTATATTATAATTCATATAATACACAGTATATAGAGGAAACTTACTGTACTTATTATACTATATCATAATTCATATAATACACCGAGTATATACAGAGAGAGCTTACTGTAATATTATACTATATCATAATTCATATAATACACCGAGTATATACAGAGAGAGCTTACTGTAATATATATCATAATTCATATCATACACAGTATATACAGAGAGAGCTTACTGTAATATTATACTATATCATAATTCATATAATACACAGTATATACAGAGAGACCTTACTGTACTATATTATATCATAATTCATATAATACACAGTATATATAGAGAGAGCTTACTGTAATATTATATTATATCATAATTCATATAATACACAGTATATATAGAGAGCTTACTGTACTATTATATTATATCATAACTCATATAATACACAGTATATATAGAGCTTACTGTACTATTATATTATATCATAATTCATATAATACACAGTATATATAGAGAGCTTACTGTAATATTATATTATATCATAATTCATATAATACACAGTATATATAGAGAGCTTACTGTACTTTTATATTATATCATAACTCATATAATACACAGTATATATAGAGCTTACTGTACTATTATATTATATCATAATTCATATAATACACAGTATATATAGAGAGCTTACTGTAATATTATATTATATCATAATTCATATAATACACAGTATATACAGAGAGAGAGCTTACTGTAATATTATACTATATCATAATTCATATAATACACCGAGTATATACAGAGAGAGCTTACTGTAATATTATACTATATCATAATTCATATAATACACCGAGTATATAGAGAGAGAGCTTACTGTAATATTATATTATATCATAATTCATATAATACACCGAGTATATAGAGAGCTTACTGTAATATTATATTATATCATAATTCATATAATACACAGTATATAGAGAGAGCTTACTGTACTATTATATTATATCATAATTCATATAATACACAGTATATATAGAGAGCTTACTGTAATATTATACTATATCATAATTCATATAATACACCGAGTATATACAGAGAGAGCTTACTGTAATATATTATATCATAATTCATATAATACACCGAGTATATACAGAGAGAGCTTACTGTACTATTATATTATATCATAATTCATATAATACACAGTATATATAAAGAGCTTACTGTACTATTATATTATATCATAATTCATATAATACACAGTATATATAGAGAGCTTACTGTAATATTATATTATATTATAATTCATATAATACACAGTATATAGAGAGCTTACTGTACTATTATACTATATCATAATTCATATAATACACAGTATATAGAGAGCTTACTGTACTATTATATTATATCATAATTCATATAATACACAGTATATAGAGAGCTTACTGTACTATTATACTATATCATAATTCATATAATACAGAGTATATATAGAGAGAGCTTACTGTACTATTATATTATATCATAATTCATATAATACACAGTATATATAGAGAGTGAGCTTACTGTAATATTATATCATAATTCATATAATACACAGTATATATATATATATAGAGCTTACTGTACTATTATATTATATCATAATTCATATAATACACAGTATATATAGAGAGCTTACTGTACTATTATATTATATCATAATTCATATAATACACAGCATATAGAGAGAGAGCTTACTGTAATATTATATTATATCATAATTCATATAATACACAGTATATAGAGAGAGCTTACTGTACTATTATATTATATCATAATTCATATAATACACAGTGTGTATATATATATATATATATATATATATATATATAGAGCTTACTGTACTATTATATCATAATTCATATAATACACAGTATATAAAGAGAGAGCTTACTGTACAAGGAAGGCTGCAGGCGCGCAAATGACCCACTCCTGAATCGGGAAGGTAGTTACGACAAATAACAATACAGGACTCTTTAGCGGCCCTGTAATTGTAATGAGTCCACTTGAAATCCTTTAACTGGGATCAATTGGAGGGCAAGTCTGGTGCAGAGCGACTGACTCGTGCGTGCTGCAGCTGAAACTCCACTATCGTCTGGTGCTGCTCACACAGTCTCTCCAGCATGTGCAAGGTGGAGTTCCACCTTTTGGGCACGTCGCATATGAGGCGGTGAGCGGGAAGGCCAAAGTTACGCTGTGGCGCAGACAAGCGAGCAGCAGCAGGGTGAGAACGCTGAAAGCGTGCACAGCCTGTACAGTGAATGTCACATCCTGTTCCAAGTTGCGGATCAGTCTGGTGATGGCTTCTGGTATCCAGTTAAATCTGTTATGGTTTCTTTTATTGCTCCATCTGTTACTTGGATAACTGTGGGAATTCCAAAGACAATACATAACGACGAGCGCTAGGGGACGGCCGCTCCGCTTTTGCACCCTGCTCCCTCTTATGCTGTGCTGGTGCCTCTGTGCGACCAGCGCCTCTTCCTCCAAACTGCACACGTCACTCGCATGACCTTAATTCCATGTGGGGTCTAGGACCTCATCATCCTCCACCCACTCCTCAACCCTGCCCTCCATGCCAGTCTGCACACTGCAGAAATCCACAGCAGTTGGCACCTGTGTTTTTCCAGCATGTAAAGTGTGCAAAGGACATATGGAAATTATTTTAGAATTGTATCCAGGCAACAGTTTTCCCTATAAACTGACCTCTCAGTTTGACTTGTGAGGGTATTGCCCCCGAATTACAATATTGTTATATTGGTATTTGACAGTTCTGTTTGACTGTCATATATGAAGTGCACACCCCAAAATTACTTTTTATCACCCAGAACAATTAGAATTTTTCAAACTACGCTGAAAGCACAGTATTTGACGGTTCTATTTGACTCTGAGATATGAAGTACACCACAGGCCGCAAATGTACTATTTATCAGCCCAAAAATTTGAATGTTTAAAACTGTTACAGCACTATTTGACGGTTCTATTTGACTCTCAGATATGAAGAGCATGCCCCAAATGTACTTCTTAGGAGCAAAAAAATGGGAATTTGTCAAAGTGCGCTGTAAAGTATTTGACGCTTCTATTTGACTCTCAGATATGAAGTGCAGGCATCAAATTGACTTTTTAGCACCTAAAGCATTAGAATTTTTTCAACTGCAATGTAAGCAAAATATTTGACTCTCAGATATGAAGTGCACCGCAGGCCACAAATGTACTATTTAGCAGCCAAAAAAATTGAATGTTTAAAACTGCTATGTCACAGCACTATTTGACGGTTCTTTTTGACTCTCTCAGATATGAAGTACAGGGCCCGAATTTACTATTTAGCAGATTAGCACCCAGAAAATAAGAATGTTTACAACTGCGCTGTAACCGCTGTATTTGAAGCTTCTATTTGACTCTCCGATATGAAGTGCACCCCACTAATGTACTAGTTTGCAGAATTCTTTCCTAAGCTGTCCCTCACAGCTGCAGCACCCTCTCCCTACACTAAGTGCTCATGTGCGTGCGGCGCTACGCGACTCCACCTTATATATAGAGCCTGGGTCACATGCTGCACTGGCCAATCACAGTGTTTGAAGGTTAATGTGCATGGGAGGCTCTGCAACAGTTGCTATGTCTATTATGAAGTTATTTTTGCTGTACCTGCCCTCACACGTGACCAGCCAGTTTTAAACCTGCTCTATCCATTTCCCTGCTCCCCAATCTCCTGTACCAGCAGCAAGAATGTGTGATAACATCAAAAGTGTATTGAAAAAAAAATCTGTGAAATGTCTTTAAAAGGCCAAATGAAACGCAGAGCAAACACGAATCCCTCAATATCTTTCAGCTTTGCAAGATTTGGCTTAAATCCCTCCTGACTGCAGTGCTAGAAGTTCAAGTGTTCACTTTAAAAACCATTCTCTCTTATCTTAAAGGGACCACAGACTTCAGATCTTTTTATTCTTCTGCTGTTTCTGGAGGAGAAAAGGCCAACAGCATCAAAGTCCTTCTACTAGGGAGGTTATTTGCCGTATTTCAAATGAAATGGCTTCCAATTCCTGGCATAGAATACAAGTTTCTGACCCAAAACCTCGGAGCGTAGAAAGTAATATCTTTTAGTTGCTTTCTCACTACAAGCTGTTTATAGAAGGTTCGAGGATGATGGCCACTAGTAATGAGATTAATTGGATCTCTCTTACTATATCCTAGACTCGTATGTTTTACATTGCATGTTCATCGCTGAGTGTTACAAATGGCCCTATAGTTTTGAAAATTTCCCATTTGCTTGGATTTAAACTTTACAAATGTTAGATCACAGATATAGTGATATTAATTACTTCTGGATGATGCTCTATGTATAAAAGCGAATAAATAACAGTAATCTTAAAAATGTTAATATTCTATACAAAATCTAGATCTGAAGGTAATTTTAGGACAACCTTTTTGTATAGGAAGAAAGATTTCCCCCTAATAATGGGTATATTTCCGTGTGCTTATTATCTGAAACAGGTGCTTAGTTATAAGTGGGTCTCGTTTGGTTGTCTTAACTTGCACTCATGGCTCTCAGATGTGAAGAGGTCTGTTTACTAAGAGCATTTTTCCTGCAGTAAGTAACGCCATAAACATTTCTGGAAATAAGAGGCTTTACTTATTGTTTTTTTTCATTATAATCCGAAATTCATAAGGTAAACTCGAATTGTTCCCTCTTTGGATTAGCAAGAGATGAATTCATTTACTAGATGATTCAGTATAAATTCCCTGGACACCTTGATAATTCAGAGGAACTCAGGAAAGGCTATCTTCTCGTTCCACAGTCTATGCATGGAGAGTAATTTAATTTAAAAATAATAATTGAAATTATTACACGTCTATTTGACTGGCATCAGACGTGTTCCCACCTTTTTCATCACCGTAACTATTAGGACTGTATGGTAGATTATTCCAATCTCCAACTTGGTTTTAACTCCAGGGAGTAGAGAGCAAGAGAGCTCCGTCCAGGTTGCCCGTATTTGGCATACCCACAGCCCCATAGAAAGGGCCGGCCCAAGACATTGTGCTGCCTGGGTCGAGGGATGAAATGCTGCTCACCCCCCTAAACTTCATGCTTATCCAGGAGATGCAGTGTGTATAGTGAATGCATTGTATGCATGTGTATAGTGGATACAGAGTGTGGATGCAGTGTAGTGCATTCAGTGTCTTTGTAGTAAATGTTGTTTAGTGGGTGCATTGTCTGTATAGTTGAAGCAGTGTCTGTGATTGTGTAAAGTGTAGTGGATGCAGTGTGTGTGTGTGTGTGTGTGTGTGTGTAGTACAGACAGATACACAGTTACAGGCAGAGAATCACACATAGGTACATACACTTTCTCTCACACACAGTTTCTCACTCACACACACAGACCGTTTCTCACATACACAAAATGCCGCCCCTGTAAAAGTGCCACCTGGAGCCGTGGCCCCACTGCTGCCAATGGCCAGCCCTACCCATAGTGAGCAGTTTTTGAACTTTTTACCTTAAATTTACAAGTGTTTCTTCTGCCATGTCCCTTCCGTGCCAGCCCAAGGCTTCAATAAGGAAGCTTTGAAGTGGGCAGCGGTAATAGGTTAAGGAGCATGTCTTATTTATTCTGTTTTGTGAATGGGAAGCTAAGCTGAGCGCATCGGCCGATGTTCTCACCCTATCAGCAGCACCTGGTCTGTAGCTTCCGAATTGAAGCCTGGGGCTGGAATGGAATGATGGCGCATAGCTGATGGGTGCCAGTGTGAAGGCTTTTGGGTTAAACCCTTTAGCAATTTAACTCCTTGTGGTAAGCTGGCACCTAGAATTTTCTTGCACCAAAACAATTTCATTCCGGTAAAGTAATTGAGTCTGGAGTGTCTTCAAAGAGCTTTTGATTTTTGAATGTCTTCATGTTCAGTATCCTTACACAATGCATGATGATACAGAACATGGCTAATTCTTCATGTAGAAAGCATTAGATTGGTTTAGCTCGGCATTTGCCATAAATGGACAGTCTCCTCCTTCGTGCTTGTGTAGGAGAAGCATCGAGATTGGACAGAAGTCATCAGAATTAATAACTTAATCAGTCATCCTCCCCTGTAATCTAATGTAAAAAAAAAAAAAAAAATACATTCTGTCATTGAAAGTAAATATGTTTAATTTTAAGGTTATAGTCTTCTTTTAAACAATGGTATTGCATGGATTGCTTCATTGCTCCATTATGGTGCCTAGAGTGTCGCTTTAACATGTGTGCTAGGCACGCCGTATAACAGAATTAGAAGTTTGACCTATAAATTCTATTAACCTCATCGCTTTAAATGTTCAGATAACATGTTTGTGCTACTGCAACACTAAAAAAAATGTAGGTCATTCTGAAAAGAAATTCAGAAAAGTTGTTAAATCACAGATTATATATTTCCCATATGAAATACATTTACCGCAGCATTCATAGCACCCGGAGAGGATCAAACCATATTATTTCATGTCTTGCAGAAACAGGCATCATAACAGCTAAAATCCTTCCTGTTCAGCATGTATCAATCATTCTTATACCGCTCAGTGTTACATTATCCCTTCATTTGATCAACATTTACAAGGATTTTTATTTCTAGCTCCTCTTCAGATATAGCTAAAGTGGACATTTCTCCTCCAACATTAGAAAAATCAATTTTAATCCTATTTGGATGGAATTCATTGGCTGGGTGCATCTTCTGATTATCTCAGCCAATAAACTGCCACTAATGCAGAAGTTCTAATGTCCACGTTAGTGATACATGAAGAGAGATTGCTGAACTGTTGGCACCCAGTGGACACAGATTAGTCAGCATGGTGCTGAGGGTTATCATACCTGGACTGACCCTTTTAAAGGAACACTCAAAGTACCGTGGCCACTGCAGCAGTCTGTTGTGGTTGTTTTAAGTGTTTCTTTAAATCAAGAAGTCAAATAATATCTGAAGATTTACACTAGATGTTATAAGTACCAGCCGTCATGTCTATTAGAAAGCCCTATTGTTTCATTTGTCACTTGATTTACTACTACATATTTATATAATGGAGCTGATCTTTACTCCCAGTTTACTCAACTGCTGTCATCAAATGATGTTTGTTTTCTTGTAATGAAAGAGCCTTTTTATTTGGCATCTATTGTGATAATTCACACTGTGACTCTTTGCTTTTTTTTTTCTCCCCCAGCTGCGTCTTAACAGCATTAAGAAGTTGTCTACTATAGCCTTGGCCTTGGGTGTTGAGAGAACCAGAACAGAGCTTCTTCCTTTCCTGACCGGTATGTGTTAAACCTCTGGTAAAACTGATTCTCTGCGATCCTGGCATTGCAATGCATGATCCGTTCACAATACAATGCCTTAAACATTTCTTTTGTCACTTTATATGTATGTAATTATTGAAATTAAGCTATTTGTCTTCTGGTTTATTTTTGCAAATTTCTAATATGTGAACTTGTCATCCTCCTTCGGGTAGCATTAGATTTAACCTACAATTGCTAAATAAATTAAAGGAACACTATAGCTTTAGAAATTCAGGTGTGTTTTCCTAACACTTATACTGTCCTATCATCGGCAGAACAGGAATGTTTTACACTGCAGGGTTTAAAAGAGGGGGGGAGGGCAATGCACCAAGGCCACACCATTGAGATGTCATGAAATGGTCTGAGTGCTATTGTGTCCATTTAAGTCTCTAGTGAAATACCTTTCCGTTTATACATTTAATAGTTGTTTTTTTTAGATTGTACAGTGTATATAGATTATATTCACAATAAAGTAATATGACGTTCTGTATAACAGGTGAGTATATGTAATGTCTGTTACCTTTGCCAGGAAACTATTTAATAAACTCCCAGCTGCTGAGGGGACTTTGAGATAAGCATAATCCAGATGGAGATGCTCCTGACGTCTGTTCTAGACTTGTGCAAAATTTAGTCTGAATAAAATGTCTCTTGACTGATACTGGAACAAATTGCGAATCTATCTCAAATGTAAACTCCACAGGCAAAACCCTTTGGAATCAAGTTTTTTTGTGTATTACCTGGAATTTTATTCAGACGTATTGCTTAAGAATTATATTTTGCATATGTCTAGCCTATTTTTTGGTTTGTGGGGGTTGTGCCTAGACCAGGAGTCGGCAACATATGGCACTCGAGGTGCCTTTGCATGGCACTCAAGGCTGCCAGAGACAAACAGACTCTGGCCTATCAGGAGTCCCAGTGGGACTTCAGATATCTGCTAGTGCAACCCAAGCGGTGATTGCAGGTAGTGAGGGACAATCCTCAATTTACACATTGCAGCACTTAGAGGAAGTGCTCTCAGATCATCTACTACTACTAGAAACAGAAGTTCCTAAGCCTCTCTGGGGATGCTAATAGAGGAGAGGAGTTGGACCAAGCAGACCCTTGGTTATAAGTAACATTTTACTTAAAATGGTTTGACTCGTTACAATGAGTGGCACCAGGGCTCTCCTGGGACTATAACAACTTCAGTGAGTTGGAGTGTTCTTTTATCATTACTACAAACAAGTATATATTTATGTAGTTAGCTTGTATCAGAACTGGGGCTATAATTCATCCTTTTGCACAGTATGAAACTTGCTTTCTGAGCTCCCCTTGGCAACAGTAAAAGGTTGTCATTTATACATTTTATGAAATGAAATTCATGATCTTCTTATAGGACCATTTCGTCAGTGACTGAGTCACCATTTGTTACACACCGCTATAAACAAGCATTTCGTGAGTGGTAAAGTGTCTCTGTACTTGTTTGCTATGTTGACAGCTAGAAAATTTATTCCAGTATCCTCTGTGCCCTCTACACTCACATGTTCAACCGTTCTGACTGCACAGGGTACCCAGGCTGTGTGTATCCATGGAAACATGCATGATTCACCTGACGGCTCAACGCCGAGATGTTCACAATTTGTGTTCCCACTTGATTTCATGTTCTCTGGGTAAATGGTAAATGTATCTGTGAACTTTGCAGTGCTTTCGACATATACCGGTCGTTCTAGTACAGCTGTCATGCAAAATTAAGGTAGCCGTAAAATTCATCAGGGCATTGTTGTAGGCAAGTTGCTACTAAATGTATATTTATTTTTGGCAATTTATAGGGTTGTCGTTCTACAACGGCTTGCATGAATTCATCCCACCTAATTTGCCTGTTTTTTGGGAATATGGACGTTAAACGATGCTTGTGGTGTGTATACGCACTTCATATGCTTCTTATCACGGCAGAAAGGGGTTTATTTGCTAAACTCCACAAAGTGTAGTGAAAACTAAATTGCAAAATGTAGCTTAAACTAGCAGTGTTTGTAGCTGGGTTGTGGAGTTTTAAGTTGTTGTCTTTGTCTTCATTCCATAATACCTGAATCTGCAGAATGCTGTGTGCTTCACACGGTGACACTGCATGCTTAGCCATGATATCTAATGTATACATTCGATTATATTATTTGCATATTTGTGGAGGACACAGTAAAATAAGTCGTAACAAGTTCTATTTTGTAAACCATCTTTTTAAAAAGCTGGAAGTTTGATGTATAGATACGGATTGAATTACTGCAACTGCAAAACTTTAGAGCTGGCTAAATTATCATCTCCTTTGAACTTGTATAACAGACTCTGGTTTTATGATGCTAGGTATTTACCTTATGGCATGATCTCTACATCTCATTGTATTCCAAGTCCAGGCTTGTTGACGGGGAGGATGGGTGCTGGGATCCTTAAATCAGCTGTTCGTGTTTCATTAGCTTGCTTATATATGTACATTGCAGTTTCTCTAGTGTTATGTGGGTACCCCTTGCCCTCATTCTCTGGGCATGGTGGTCCGACAGATCATTTATTCTTAGGGAAAGTTGGACCCTATATCTATAATGGTGTGCAGATAGTACAAGTTATTACAATACCTGAAAAGCTAGTTATTCAGATAAGAATGGCTGTCTTTATTTTCCTACACTCTTCCTTATTTTTCCCTTTTTCCTGTCCATCATATTTCAGATTTTGTTAGAAATGTTTCCACTGATTAAGCCTTGCTTTGGTTGTTTATAACTCACAATGGGCAACTTCACTGACAGCTTATTTTTAGATGTTTCTTACATTTTAAACAATAATCAGAACCACATGCAGTGACACATACAAAGATCCATTTTTAGCAATATCGATCTGAGAGCTGTTAAAATCCCACACACCAGCCCACCAGTCACTGTGTGGGGTCTCTGCATAATTTGAGGTGTTATATTTGCCTCAATCTCTCACTCACTTGCGCCACCATGGTCTTCCTGCCAGTCCTCTTCAGCTGCCGGAAGCTTATGTCTTTGTTGTGTTCTTGCGCATATGTGAGAGTACAACACTGATGTCCCGTTAGACTGGGATCCTCCATAGACATTCCTTTTTCCCTAAAGCTGTGACTGGGTTAAAGGACCACTATAGTGCCAGGAAAACCTACTCGTTTTCCTGGCAATATAGTGCCCTGAGGGTGCCCCCACCCTCAGGGTCCCCCTCCCTCCGGGCTCTAGGATGAGGAAGGGGTTAAACTTACCTCTTTCTCCAGCGCTGGGCGGGGAGCTCTCCGCCTCCTCTCCTCCTCTTTGGCTGACTGCACATGCGCGGCAGAAGCCGCGTGGGCATTAAGCCAAATCGATAGGAAAGCATTCTCAATGCTTTCCTATGGACGCTGACGTCTTCTCACTGTGAAAATCACAGTGAGAAGCGCGGAAGCGCCTCTAGTGGCTGTCAGGGAGACAGCCACTAGAGGCTGGATTAACCCATTTATAAACATAGCAGTTTCTCTGAAACTATGTTTATAGAAGAAAGGGTTAATCCTAGCTGGACCTGGCACCCAGACCACTTCTTTAAGCTGCAGTGGTCTGGGTGCCTATAGTGGTCCTTTAAGCAAATGACAAAGTAGCTCTTCCTTAAGTTTTGTCAAGAGTAGGGAAAATACTAAGGCAAAGTAGTACCTACTTTATCTTCGTATATCTTTTGACTGCGTCAGAAATTCCAATGCAATGTGACTTCATTCAAGTGCTTGTTCGGGGGGGGTGGGGGGGAGACAGACTCTTTAAAAATGACAAGACAAAACCATGCATCTCAGCAGATGTATTCTTTTCTGTACTAAACACCATTGGTTTTTTTTTTTTGATTGATTTCAGATACCATATACGATGAAGACGAGGTGCTCTTGGCTCTTGCGGAACAGTTGGGCAGCTTTACCACCCTCGTGGGAGGTCCTGAGTTTGTCCACTGCCTGCTGGTGAGTCCTGCAGAATATGCTGTGTATAACTTGGGCTATAGCACCCACTTTTTCTAACTAAATAAAGTATTCTGAATGTCATCACTCTTATTGTCCAATAACTGCCTCCTCAAAAAAAAACATGTCTTTTCTTGCTGTATAATTTAAATCTTTGTACCATTAAAGGGACTGTGTATGCAGTCTAAACAATTAAGTGGTTGTAATGCAAGTCCTCTGCTGTTAGTCAAACCGTATTGAGCATTTTTACAAAAAGGGGTTCTCCTGCCACCCTATGTTTTATCTTCTTGGAAACAAAGTTTCATATTCCTCCTTTTCAGGGAACCTCTCTCAAGGTTAACTAAGTGAGAAAGTAGCAAATAACAGTTATTTATTTTGGTGAAAGCTCTTACAGAAAATCGTTCTAGATGCAGGAGAGAATTCATTGTTTTTTTTTTTTAAAGTGAATTCAGAGTACTTGGCTGTATAGTAAATAACCCTTTGCACTAGGCAATGCGATCCACTGTTATCCTAGCTGAAATCGTTCTTAAAACTAGTGTAACCCTTTACGCAACAATTAGTTTCATCATTAGTCTGATTCATAGCTTTTTAGAAGACTTGTGTTAATAAAGAGCATTTTCTGTGCTGTCATTTGGCCAAATTAAAATAAAAAAGACACTGATTGTGGATATGCTCATTCAGCAGCTTGGTAGAGATCTGTACCCAGCCCAGTTTCAAAATCTGTAAATCAGACTGAGGACAGGCTGATATCAATCACCATGTGGCCGCTATCAAATGGTTTTTTTTCTGTGGTATGACTGGAAATGCACCTGGGGGCTTAGATGACTGTTCCAAGGAACTCTGCTGGGGTAAAAACAGAATACTAGAATGAGAGGCTCCTGATTGGTGGAGCCTTTTCCTGGTCTGTGCAAACACTGCCTGTGTTTGTGGTTTTTTTTTTTTGTTGGTTTTTTTGCACTGTATTAACAGAAGCAATTTTGAAGTTTATTTATATAGCATGTTTAATGTAGTGTCTATGTAAAGCATTTAAAAGGGAAATTAGTTCCAACAAAGATTATATCTTAGTATGTATCTCATATGTATTTTCATATAGTTTTGTAAAGTGTCAGACTAAAAATACACCATTAAAATATTCCTACACCTTTTGCCTGCAAAACCTTTGTGCATGGATTTTCGGGTCAAGCTGTGAATGGAATTTTGATGAGCTGGTTAATTTAGTCCCATAACTATACCCCCATCACATGGCTAGCTGCTCGCGTTGTCTGTATGGCTTGTTGCGACTGATGGTTGAGGTAATTGACACGCTGAAGGATATTTGTTTGCCTTCAAGATAACCCCTATCCAGGCAGTTAGGGGACAGCTCTTTCTTGGCCTTCGTATATTCACTCTTTCATAAAGCAATGTGAAAGTTGTTCAGTAGACTCATGCCTTGTCCCTCTTTGTCCTTTTGTTGGCTGCAGTTTCAAAGCTTGCATCTGTCTCCCTACTTCCCTGCCAATCTACTTTGTGCGTCAGCAAATAATGCTGCCAAAGTCTTAGATCTCTTCTGAGCCCTTTTCCGCCTTCTGGAACGAGCGGCTTGCAAGCGTTGGGTACTAAGATATTGGGTGCCATCTGGGGGGGGGGTGGGGGGGGTACTTCTGGCTCCTCTCCCAAACGTGTGTTCAGTTTGGCAGTCCTTTAAATATTTGTATCAACGTCACTAGCCCAGTTAAAACTAATTTATGTAGGTTTGCAGCAGATGCTGCTGCATAAGTTTGAACAAATCAGGCAGCTCCAGGTGGTCTTGTAAGTATATACATAATAAGCTTATGGTGCAGTAGGATTTATAGTAATCAGTGGCTGTTCAGGCTTTGAAAGTGGTTTTGGAAGTTCCATAATCCTGACACGGAGAAACTGTGCTTAATTGGCCTTTGTTTCTTAGAGCTGCAGTGGCCAAAAGTTAGATCCCCAGCTGTTGTGGAACTACAAATCTTGTGATGATTTGCCAGCCTTTAGACTGGTATCTGAGGCTACATGCTTAAAGTGTACATCTCTTGCTATCTAGTATCTTTTTTTTTTTTTTTTTTTTTTTTAAATATTCCCACACTTCAAGAAATCAATTTGTTTGCTATTACTATGTATATAATGCATTTAAATTCTGCAGCGTCAAGGGCAATTTCCCCAAGGACTAGAGTGTAACTATGGCTGGTTCCCTTATTTACCACTATAACGTCTTAAAGCATAGAACTTAGCAGGGCTAACCATACAGATATCTTAGCCATAATTTTATATAGTTAGTGTAATGGCAGAGAATTGAGCAGTGAGACTACAGGGGTATGTTCTATACACCAAAACTGCATCATTAAGCTAGTTGTTTTGGTGACTATAGTGTCCCTTTAACTATGAGAACTGGTGATTTTACAGCAAAAAAATTAGTGCAACTGCTGCAGTCTGAACTGGCAGGAACATGTATTAGGGTTAGGCAATTAGAATAATATTTTTAGTCAGAAAACCGTGCATGTGGTCGAAGATTAAAAGAAACGGCATGCTCAGGGAAGGGTAAGTGACAACCATACCCACATACAGTAGAGGACTTTATACAGGACATACATTGGTAGAAAAAAAAAATTCAACAAGGATTTTATGATATGTAAATTAAATAATGAGCGTTCTCTTTATGAGCCCAACATTCAGTTTTGTTTCACATTTGCTCTCTATTACTTACAGCCTCCTTTGGAAAGCTTAGCTACTGTTGAAGAGACAGTTGTACGAGACAAGGCAGTGGATTCATTGAGGAAGATCTCTCATGAACATTCTCCTGTCGACCTTGAAGCTCACTTTGTGCCCCTGGTTAAAAGACTAGCCAGCGGAGACTGGTTCACTTCTCGTACTTCTGCATGTGGTCTTTTCAGTGTGTGCTATCCCAGGGTGTCTAGCACCGTGAAGGCAGAGATAAGACAGTAAGTCCAATGAGTTCTTTAATTTTCACATGAAAGTTGTGCAAAGCAAGACAGCCAAAAGTAGTGTTCTAGTGTGCAGAAATGAAATTGCTTCATGTCACAAGGGCATAGCTGAAGCCAAATGTTGAGTTAATGGGACACTATAGTCATTGGAACAATTACAGTTAAAGCGACACTGTAGGCACCCAGACCACTTCAGCTATTTGAAGTAGTCTGGGTGCTGTGTCCCTTTTGCATGTTTACATTGCTGCTCTAAATCTGCCCTCTGTGGCTGTCTTATCAGACAGTCACTAGAGGGCTTCCGGAATCCAAACAGACTTTTGGTCTGTTATCGGACGCTGGACGTCCTCACAGACCTCCAGTGTCAGATTCTCCTGATAGGAAAGCATGGGGAGGTCTAATGAGCACTTGGCCATTGCTGCGCATGTGCATTAGGTCTCCCTTGGCGCTGGAGTAGCGTGGGTGGAACCTGACACAGCGCCGGCGCTGAATTCAGGTAAGTGGCTGAAGGGGTTTTAACTCCTTCAGCCCAGCGGGAGGAGGGCACTCCAGGAGCCTATAGCACTACAGGATACCTTTAAGTGTAGTTGTTATGGTGTCTATAGCCTGTACCTTTAGGCTTTTTAATGCAAACACTTCCTTTTCAGAGAAAAGGCAGTGTTTACATTACTGCCTAGTAACATCTCTAGTGGAGGTCACTCAGACGGGTTGATTCCTGGGTTGAGTCAATGCATCTTTACGAGGAGATGCTGATTGGCGCAGTGTGGTGTTTTGCCGCCCATGTGCAATAGCCTCCCAGTACTTCCTTATGATCTCCGCCACGAAGCTGGTAAAAAGGCGAGACCGACGCGGCTTGGAGAAAAGTTAAAATCACTTCTTTTTACCTCGGTCATCTAAATAGTTATTTTACCTCTATAATGTTAATAATACATTATTTTGTGTTCCTCACACTATAGTTTTTTTTTTTGTTTTTTTTTTTAACAAAACACACTTGGTATGTTTAAAGTGGATTTGGCTCCAGCTGTATTAACTGAGAGTGTTAAGTTCAATCCCTAGCAACGTCAACAAAGCCTATCCATTTGCTGAGGTTTATAAAATGAGAACAATTATGTTGGATAATAGCATTTATAACCAGCACACACTTGGAAACTATTGACAAACTAAATGTCCTTTCTTTGGTCAGAAACTGAGATATTCTTTTTAATAAACATGAGTCAATAAAGATACATATTAATGTATTTCTAGATTGCAAGTGACTCTCTGGTAGTCACAGAGAGCAGGGAAGAAAGGGACATAATCTAAATACTACAGGTCAGCATCTATCACATCTTACTGCTTACTTCAGCAAACTGAACTGAGACCGCTTTATCATGGAGGTTCAGTAGGTCTGATCAGAAAAAAAGAAAAGTTTTTTTTATTATGCATTCTATGCAGCATATTAACAGAATGGCATTTCTCACAGCAACAATACAAAAGCATTATTAAAAAAAATTTAATGTGTGCAAAACAAACTTCTAATGTGTTACACAAAAGTCACACACTGTATTTAAAACGTGTATGTGTACATATGCATAATCCTAAATTAAACCACTGAGAACTAAACATGGCAAAATTCAGGGAATGAAAAGTGCTTCCTTCAAAACCACACAATTTATATCGAGCAGTAATAGGCACGAACTCTAGGGTCCTTTTTTAATGCTCTAACACTTTCACCTGTTGTGACAATCCCCAGTCATTCAGAATGCAATACATTGTGCTTTTTTAAATGCATGAATTGAGTTCATATGTACCGGAGCCTAATGTATGTCTTATATGAAGGCCCTCTGGAAAACCGCTACAAGCTTTACCCTCCTTTCTGATGATGCAGTAACTCTTGCTTTGGCTTGTTCCAGGCACTTCCGAAACCTGTGCTCAGATGACACACCCATGGTACGGCGTGCTGCTGCGTCCAAACTGGGCGAGTTCGCAAAAGTCCTTGAACTTGAATATGTGAAAAATGACATAATTCCACTCTTTACCAACCTGGCGTCAGATGAGCAAGTGAGTAATTATCATTTTAAAATACCCGTATGGGTGGGACCAGTCTGATATGTTTCAGAGATGTTCTCTCTGTAATGGCACAGGATGAGCTAAAACCAGCTTGGTTCTGAGCGGGGACCCACCGAAGGGCAGGCTATTTCAGCTGCTGCCCGTTCTCAGGATACTCTTGCGCCCCGTTTTTAGCTCTATTTATCATTTTAGTTTTTAATATGCACAGTTTAGGTTCACATATCCATACATGTTACATCAATATTTCACACAACCAGCCAAGCACGTTCTGCAGTTTGAGATCTGGAGGGGAAGTTGGCTGTAAACATTATCCTTAACTCGTTCTTTTCCTTAGCCTATGGCAATTAAAGGCTTAAACCATGGCCATATATTGTTTAATTTAAAATAAAGCATGTTACCGAAGGTTGCTCGATGTAAACAAAAAGATTGCTGCTCTTATCTGCTTGAGAGTTGACTCGGTGTATGAACAAAGTAGGATTTAAAGGTTTTAACTGCATAATTTGGTCAAATGCTTAGTGAGGCTTACCAGTCATTTCGTAACACATACGGGCTCAGCTTTGTGCTCTCATAGGCAGTGTGATAATACATAGCAGCCAAAACATTATCAGAGTGTCATGACTAAATTAGTATTCCTTTCCATTAACCGGCTAATGACCAATCATCAGTGTTGAGTTTATAATCTGTACCTCTGAGACCTTGTGCTGCCCCCTGCTGTCCCTATGTAATGGCTCATCCCACCATACAAATCTCTTAAAAGGTTATCAGATCACTGCTAAAATACAGCAGGCTGATGCTGACTCCAATTGTAATGTATCATATAAATAATCAACTAACACACATGCAAAATGTTTTTAAAATGATAGTCCCACGGGGTCTGTAGTGTGCTCAGCTCAGGAAGTATCTCAGCCACTAAACCTGTTAACCTTTATTGAAGCATTGGGCGCATGCGCAGCAATCAGGCTTTTACTGTCTGTACTTCTCATAGAGCAAGACTGAATCCAATGCTTCTCTGTGCGCTTGGGCACAAAACAGTCAGTAAGCGCACCCTCTCGGCTGTGATATACAGCCAGGTGGGAACTCCATACAGGTGACATTTTATCTTGTAAGAAAGAGGGGACTCTCAGCAAGTTGAATTGCATTGGTAGTTTTGAGTATTCCATCAACAAAGCAACCCTAGAAGCAAACCTCTTGTACTCTGGAGAAATTAGAAATGTTGGTGCTGTAGATTTTTAGAAATAAATGTAATGTGCAGTTGCACAATTACAGTGAGTAATGCCAAGCCCTGCTGCGTTGCGTTAATTATATTGCTGCATTCCAAGCTGGGTCCATGGAAACTTGAGAGCTGGTTGGTGGCATGTGCATTCATCTAGGGATGCCATGTCTCTTTTCTTTACCTCCATGCTAAAGCATTTAAATAGTGTAATTCCAGGGGAAATAGGAATGCATTGTATAATGATGCACAATGCTGATCAGGTGATGGTTACGTGACCGCATACTTAGAGCCATCTTGGGACCACTGCTGTGTATTCCCAGGTTATATTAGCACAACGAAATGGCTGTCGCATATCCTCAAACCATAAGAAGTTGCCAGGCATCAGGTGCCATGTGTTTGAATTTAATGAATTTAAATTTGCAACAGGAAGCATACTGGAACCATTCAATGGCATCTTTTGTTTGTTTGCTCAAAAGCTGTAATACCCAGTGGGAATATGGGGAACATGTCCCAGTTTTGCACCTGCTCCTGGTTGTCTTAACTAAAAAGTTCACAGATAGCTCCCTGACAGCTGCTTCTTTTACTCGAATCCTTCTATGAGCCCTGACATTCCCTCGGTTGAAAGTCCCACTGGGCATATATCAGAAGTCTTTTTGTTGGACTAGTATTGCTTTGCCCTTCCTGCTATCATTATTTACTCTGTGTCATTGGTTATCTATGAGAAACCTATGCAGCACCACTGACACTAGAAGAAATTGCAATGGCTGAAAATGTTTTGCTCTACTTTGTTCTCCCTAGGACTCTGTGCGTCTTTTAGCAGTGGAGGCCTGCGTCAGCATTGCTCAACTGCTTCCCGAAGAAGACCTGGAGGCTCTGGTGATGCCAACATTACGGCAAGCAACGGAAGACAAATCCTGGCGTGTCCGCTACATGGTAGCAGACAAATTTTCAGAAGTAAGAAAGATACCATTCTTAAAGTATATACTCCAGATTTATTATATATAGCTATCAGATATTTAGGGTAGAGCAAAAGGGAAGTACGTGAAGATGGGTAACCTAAAGAACTACTGTTTTACATAAAAGGTCTTTGAGTTCGTGGAATAGTCTTCCAGCCATGGTGGTATAGTTCCCAGACTTGGATTTACGGACTGAGTATTTGGACGTTCAGCATTTGTCTGCTATATGGTATCTTTTATGGGCAATAGGTAATAATTTAAGATGTCTGTTTTGGAGACTAGCACATCTACAGATTATTTAAGTAGGAAGAGAAAAGTTAGAGCATTTTCAAGATGAGTCAGAAGCTTTAAATATGTTAAATATATTAGTAATCAGTAATTTTGTTCATTTTTCCAAAAGATACTATTTATTTGCTGGCTGTTCTTTGTTTTATATTGCATACATATAACTCTAGAATTAACTTTATACATTTCCGATTGTTTTTTTTTTAGCTTCAGAAAGCAGTTGGTCCAGAGATCACAAAAAACGACCTTGTTCCCGCTTTTCAGAACCTGCTGAAAGATTGTGAGGCAGAAGTTCGGGCAGCAGGAGCCCATAAAGTTAAAGGTATTAAACTGCATTATTCCATAATTTCCATCTTTTGAATTCACAGTTGTTATGGGCAAATGCCCATATCTGTATGGTTAGCCCTGCTAAGTTCTATGCTTTAAGACATTATAGTGGTAAATAAGGGAACCACCTGCGGCTACACAGTATTTAAACATGAATTTTGTTTGGTTTGTGCAAGAGGTGGACTTGTGATCGCTACTTAAAGCGTCACTCCACTGCCCAAATAAAAAATAGATATAAATGTTTGTTTAGTAGATATACCCCCAATGAAAACATTTAATTATGCATTATTTTCACTGAGGGTATATCTAAAAACAGCTTGCAATAACTGCAGATCTCTTTTATCTGCAGCTTTTGCAAGCCCTCCCCTTCTAACCCCACATAGACTTTCTGTGACTGTCCAATCAGACTTCCCAATGCAGTTTACTTAGAAGTATCTGCGATCCAAAACAGGCAGGTTATGGTTATAGTTTATCTTCACAGTGCAAATACTTTTGGCATAAAACCTGTGTTGGTTCAGTATCAAACTCAAGATCACTCTTGGCACCAAAACAACTTCTCTAGCTTGAAATGTTAATGCTAGGAGGTGTGCCTGCCTATCCAAGGAGGTAAACTGATAACAGACTGGACTGTTTTACCTCAACGTCTTCAATCCTGTCCCTGTCAGCTTTGCCCTTTCACTTCCAGTGCAGACTGAGGCTTCCGTCAGGAAGCCATGGCCCTGCTGCCGCTGAGAGCGTCAGACTTTGGGGTTAAGTCGTTCGGCAAATCGTTCATTTAACCCTTTCAGGTAAACCAGTGCCTGGGACCTTCTCACACCACAACAACTTAATTCCATTGTCCCGTTAAAGAGGCATGCTAATATAGCTCACTGGCTTCTCACTGTGGATATTGCATAAAGCCAGTTAATGTCCTATTTGGACAAAATCGCTATTGCCAGTGCTTAAGTGTAACTTTCGTAAGAGCAGCATGCTGCCCTCAGTTTATGTCAAATAACTCAAAACACCAGGGGAATGCTGGCACCATAACAACTACAGCATTTATGGGTGCTCAATTTGCCCTTTTAACTATAATTTAACTACACTAAGTAAGGGCTGAGATTTAGAATGTTTTAATTTTGTTTCAGAATTCTGTGAAAATTTGCCAGCCGATGGAAGAGAGACCATCATAATGAATCACATTCTGCCCTATATAAAGGTAATCTCAATTTATGCCCCCTGAGGAGCCTGCCTGGTGAAACGTAGATCGGGCTTGGCAAGTACTTTGGGCGGCTGATTTTTTTCTTTCTTTTTTTTTTCTTGTAAAATAAGAATCAGGACTTTTTTATACCTTGTGATTATTATTTTCTAACTTGAAGGAGTACTTGGCTGTCTACATAATAATTTTCTGTAGCTGTCAAGAGTTTCAGTTAGTCAGAATCATGATGAGATTAGGTGCCCTCGAAGGCACAGAATAGCATCTCCTTTACTAAAATATAGACAGCTCAGCTTTGTAACTCTAATCTGATTTATAGTATATTATCTGTGGAAGCTGGTATCTTGCTACAGTGTGATATTTGACACACCACTTGGTGATGCTAATTTGTTACTTTTTTGTTACGAATTGTAACTATTCTGTTATTCTGTAGCTTACGATTCTAATGCAGAAAATCTGTACTGTCTTTTAGGTGCCTGATGTTGATACATTTAGCCAGATATTATTGTTCACATAAATTTCCTATCAGACCACACATAATAATAATAATAATAATATTTATATATTATCTCTGTATTTACTTTGGGTTTTGATTTTGTTCTTTTCCCTTTTTTTCGTGTGTGTGTGCAAAAAAAAAAAAAAAATATATATATATATATATTTAGTTTCTCTCATGCACTTTTTATTGATAACGTTAATATATGTTACGTTTTTAGATATATTTTTATTTTTTGATGGATTTACATTCTATATGTTCAAATATAGAAACATAAAAATAAAGCACTTTATTTACAGCAGCAGTAGCCTAAAATACATCATAAAAACAAAGAGAACGTTACCTGTGCTCTGGCCTAAATCCCTGTGTACATTTAAACAAAATGGAGGCTCTTTAGTTTTATTTTATTGGCCAATTGAAGATAAGCTCATCTGCCACGTCAAGGCAAGCCCTATAAGGTCCCACACTAGCCATTAGAATTGCTGATATCAGCCAAGAATCTCCAGTGAGACAGGAAGGGGTATTTTATAAACCCTTTCACACATACAATAAACCTTGCTGGTATCAGACAAAGTGTAAACAGCTGTAATGAGACAGGAAGGGGTGTTTGTATAAACCCCTACATACTTATTAACCCTTTATAGGGCTTTCACACATACAAATCACCTTGCTGGTATCAGACAAAGTGTAAACAGCTCTAATGAGACAGGAAGGGGTGTTTTTATAAACCCCTACATACTTATTAACCCTTTATAGGGCTTTCACACATACAAATCACCTTGCTGGTATCAGACAAAGTGTAAACAGCTCTAATGAGACAGGAAGGGGTGTTTTATAAACCCCTACATACTTATTAACCCTAGATAGGGCTATAACACATACAAATCACCTTGCTGGTATCAGACAAAGTGTAAACAGCTCTAATGAGACAAGAAGGGGTGTTTTATAAACCCCTACATACTTATTAACCCTGAATAGGGCTATAACACATACAAATCACCTTGCTGGTATCAGACACCTTGCTGGTAAACAGCTCTAATGAGACAGGAAGGGGTGTTTTATAAACCCCTACATACTTATTAACCCTAGATAGGGTTAATATGTTCAAATGTAGGTTAATTCAGGGCATTTTGTTATGGTCTTCAGTTGTAATTTCACTATGTGCCCTAAATATGGATATATGAGCTCTTTCTTATGTATCAATTTATGCGCATTTCAACTTTTGGCTTCCTTGCATCCCCTTTCAGTTTGCAATAATCCTCAGTTTTCTGTTGTGACAGTGTAAAAGATCACACAATCTATATTTATTTATTTTCTTCTTTACATTACTTTACATTGGGCAGTTGAAATTAATCCAGAATCTGTGAGTGGTTCACAGAGCATCATGGGAAATGCCTACTGGCCAAATGTAATGGAACTGAGAGGGCTGTGACCATTTATTCCTCCAGTGTTCAGCTTCTCAAACTTACTTAAGAAATATTACCAAACTGAGATTGAGACAGTGCACACATGCAAGAACACACAGATCTATACACTACTCCTGTTAAAAAAATAAAAAAAAATTTTTTATTTATTTTTTATTTTAAATGGTGCAAATCCAAATGACCCCCTCCTATCAACCAGTGACATTTCTTAGGGAGCAACAATCCCTGAATAATATCCAACAAAATGAAGAGGGCAAGCTAAGTAATGCTTAGAGGGACACTGTAGACACCCAGACCACTTCAGCTCATTGAAGCGGTCTGGGTGCCAACTCCCATCACCCTTAACCCTGCAAGTGTAATTATTGCAGTTATTATAAACTTAATTTATATTTATATAATTTATTCTTCAATAACACCTCATACTTCCTTTTTCATTACTTGAGTTTCTTGTCTTAATTTTATTGCACTGGCGTCTGGTTTGCCAAATGTTTGGTCATACCTTTTCAATTACTTTAAACTATTTACAAATAAAGTAGCATCATAACCCCTTCATTGAGATAAAGTTGTTATGGTGCCCGGAGTGTGTGTTTAATGCATTCCTAAGTTGACTTTAGGACTCTCAAGCATATCTCCTCAAATTATGAAAATGTAGTGTAGCTCTGGGTATTCATTCATTTCCTTTTAAAAGTTCAAATATGGGGCGTGGCCGGACATCGAGTGCGATGGACGCACACTAAGTGAGCTCCGCTGACTCGGGCTCCTCAAAGCGGCACAAAGCAGCCATACCGGGTGATTCCCCAGTCCCACAACGCAGGCACGATGTCCCAGCACCGGGGGAAAAAAAGCGCGGAGGCAAAAGATAAATCAGCCTTCTTTGCGGCTCGCACGCCGCAGTCTAAAATTGCCGACACACAAATCCAAGATGGCGCCGACCCGGACTTTGAACCGGAGCATGACCCCACAGTGAGTAAACCAGACGATTGCCCCCTGACTCAGAGCCTCCTGCAATCCATGCTAGATGGAGCAGTTACTAAAATGCAAGCTTCGATCACTGCAGCCCTCAGTGATATAAGGAAAGGCTTCCAAGAACTAGAAACTCGGACCTCCCATCTTGAGGACACTGTGGAGGGCCTCATGGGAGCCCAAAATGAATCTGATACACGCCTCAGCAAAATTGAGGAACAGCTCCATAACCAGGAGACCAAAATAGCGGACGCAGAAGACAGATCACGCCGCAATAATATTCGATTAAGGGGAGTACCTGAGGAAATTGCGCCACACAACTTAACAGCCTTCGCTGTGGAGCTCTTCCACGTTTTACTTCCCGACATTCCCGCAGAAATGTTCCTGCTGGACCGCATACATAGGCTTCCTAAGCCACAACACCTGGCACCATCCACTCCAAGAGACGTCCTCATGAGACTCCACTACTTCCATATCAAGGACCAAATACTGCGAGCTCACCGCAACAAAAAGGACTTACCCACTCAATTCAAAGATGTCCTCATGTTTATGGACCTCTCAGCAGAGACACTACGCCGCAGACGCTCATTCAAAGCCGTGGCAGACACACTGAGGCACCACCATGTGCCGTACCGCTGGGGATACCCAGCAAAACTGCTCATATCGAAAGGCGGGAAGCTCATCTCAGCATCCACACCAGCAGAAGGCCTGAACCTCTTGCAACAATGGGATATGTCCCTGAATACACAGCCGAATCCCAAGAACCCCAGCAGACCGCCATTTGAAATCGGACGGCCTCAGAAGACGAGACGCACATCACCAAGAGAAGAGTGAACATGCCTATCGGGAAACAGCAAGTTCTTTCCACGTTTATACTGTTATTTACCTGTTATACACTAGATTATACTGTAACGATAATGCATTGTTCACAGATTGCTAGCACCCTTATGATATGCCTATGAGACCCTCCCATTGGAGATGGGAGCGGCATTAAATGCATCAAGCGCAATGGGCCTTACTAAACAACACTTCTTTGCTCACTTGTGACACACCCTATCGGTTGCCGACCTCTATGGTCACAGCCTCTACTACCCCAGCTCAGGCCCTTTACTGCCCATACCGGTGCCGGTCGCTCCAACCGACACATGTTAACCGCACAATTGGGCGAGGCGCACCCGACCCACGTTGGACCCGTAGCGACCTCCGCTCGCCCCGAACCGACCACAACACCCCCCACCTAGGAAGTGCCATAGTTACGGCACATACCCCTACAAGTTATTATTGTACGATACTTTCTTTGTTTATTGCATAACTGTTTATTGTCTTATTTTATTTTATTGTGTTCAACCAAGTTTATCATAGACCTAGTGGTAAACAACACCGACCACTCCACGGAAACCCGTTACTGATCCACACGATCACCCACACCGGACGCCCTGACAGGCGCCTCGCTCCGTCGAGGCTTAGCCCTCCCCCTCCTCCCAACACTACGACACACACACGCAACATACGACTCACAAATACCAGTCACCCACACTAGCCACAGACAATGAAAATAATCACACATAACGTACGCGGACTGAACTCACCCAACAAACGACACACCCTCCTCAAAGAACTTACTAACTCACGTGCAGACTTTGTCTGCCTGCAGGAGACTCACTTCAAACATGACTCCAACCCCATTTTGGGACTCAAAAACTTCCCGCACCAGTATCATGCGACCTCCCCTAACAAAAGCAAAGGTGTGTCGATACTGCTAAGTCATACTCTAGCCTTTGACCTAATTTCAGTCGAATATGATCCGAAGGGCCGTTATATCATTCTAATATGCACCTTGAACAACTCAACATACACGCTAGTGAGCTCTTATTCCCCAAATGACAACCAGACGACTTACTTGGCCTCCCTATTAGAAAAAGTGGACAAACTCCAAACAGGTACCACGATCATATGCGGCGACTATAACCACATACTAGACCCGAATGCAGACTCCACAGCTAGACACTCAACAAAACGAAAAAAGACACTACACAAATGTTGCAACTCTATAAATAAGCTTTTGTCAGCACATGGACTATATGATGTCTGGAGAACCCTACACCCAAACGATAAGGAATACACCCATTACTCCCAAGTCCACAATACCTACTCCCGTATAGATGGGTTCCTCCTACGAAACACGCACCTACACCAAATAAGAACATGTGACATAGAAACGTCCTCGATCTCAGACCACAACCCGGTGTCACTAGTCCTTGCAGACTCATACCAATTTAAACACCGAAGTCCATGGCGGTTAAACGAACATCTCCTCAACGACCCCTCATTCCTGGACAAAGTAAAAACCGAACTAACTCTATACTTCACGCGCAACAGTCCCACTGACACGTCCCCCGCCACACTCTGGCTAGCCCACAAAGCAGTCATCCGTGGTATCTTGATAGGCAGAGCAGAACCAACCACACTTCACTGCTCTCACTCCTCAAGAAAGTTCAGGACCTACATAGGCTGAACCAAACAAATCCCACGACGTCACTCCGACAGCAAATACAAAGCACACAAAACGAAATCAATGTCATTCATCTCCGCAAGGCAACGACAGCGCTGAAAAAACTAAAAGCTACATCCTACTCGATGGGTAACAAAGCGACGAAACTACTGGCACAAAGACTTAGAGACAAACAAGCCCAAACGAGAATACAATTCCTATGCAAGCCCAACGGACCAAAAATAATTCAGCCCGCTCAGATCTGTAACGAATTCGCCCACTACTATAGCTCTCTTTACAACCTGAAAAACGACCTAAACTCCCCATGACCCACACCAACGTCCATACGGTCCTACCTCACCAACCTAGCACTTCCCACTATTAACGCACACCAAGCAGCTCTACTCAGTGCCCCAATCACTACAGAAGAAGTTCTTCACCACATAGAGGGAATGCCCAGAGCTAAAGCACCAGGACCAGACGGGTACACCAATGCATACTACAAAACATTTAAACACATACTGGCCCCCCCACTTACCAAATTCTTTAATGCAGCGACCAACCAGAGCTCCTTCCCCACTGAGTTCCTGTCAGCCCACGTAATCACAATACCCAAACCAGGAAAACCTCCAACTGTATGCCAAAACTTCCGACCAATCTCGTTGCTTAATGCAGACACTAAAATGTACGCAAAAATTCACGCTGATCGACTGAAAACAATATTACCCTCCCTTATACACACAGATCAGGTAGGCTTTGTGGCAGGTAGACAGGGACCAGACAACACCAGGAAGGTCCTTGACATACATCACTTCCTAAAACGGACCAACTTGGAGAGCATCATGCTCTCGTTAGACGCCGAAAAGGCGTTTGATCGCCTAAACTGGAATTTCCTACACGAAGCCCTGACCTTATACGGCTTTCCTCCGTCCTTCTTGGCGGTCATTCATGCCCTCTACAGCAACCCCACAGCGACAGTACTAACTTCGGGGTTCTGCTCCCAACCCTTCCCAATAACCAATGGCACCCGCCAAGGCTGCCCACTATCCCCCCTCCTATACGTCCTAGCCCTAGAGCCACTAGCTATAGCCATCCGCAAAAATGATAGCATACATGGGGTACCTATTGGCCAACAGGAGTACAAACTTAATCTATTCGCGGACGACATTCTACTCACTCACCCAACCACTCATCTCCCTCCCTTCATTACACAAAGAACTACACACATACAGTCAACAATCCTACTATAAACTCAACATCGCCAAGACACAAGCGATATGCTTCAATGTACCTAGGAATACTGAAAATACCCTTAAAGCAACACACGAATACGACTGGAGAGCAGATTTCTTAACATTCTTAGGCATCAGGATAACTAACAAGACCACTGACCTCTTCACAGCAAATTACGTAAAACTGTTTCGAGAAATTGAAAGACAACTACATAGTTGGAAAAATTTATTCCTGTCATGGGTCGGAAAGATAGCGGCTATCAAAATGACGATACTTCCTAAATGCCTGTATCTCTTCCGGTCCTTGCAAATCAAGATCCCACAAAGCTACCTGATCAAGATGCAAGCAGCCCTCCTCCGCTTCTGCTGGTGCGGTAAACGCCCCAGGGTACCTAAAGCCCTGCTCTTCAAACACACAAAACAAGGAGGTATGGGATTCCCAAACCTCAAAGCATACCACCACGCAGCTCTACTCTCAAATGTAATCAATGCACACACGACACACCAGCCTCCACAATGGGTAGCGTTGGAAAGCCAGCTCTGCATCAACAACGACCTTTCATCCACGCTGTGGACTCCCAAACACGTAAGGCCAAGCTCCAAGGACCTATTGCCCACCACCAAACTCCTGCTATCCACATGGGACACCTGCAGAAAAAAACTATGCTCGGCTCACCCGTGGGAATTAACCGCCCCGATCAAAACAATACACCACTGCAATGGCACATTCCCACACCGTAAATGGGAAAAAAAGGGCATCACGCACCTATCCCACCTCTACACAGCTGAAGGCCTAAAACAGTTCCCAGACCTTCAAACCGAATATTCGCTCCCACCAAACTTCGCATTCTCGTACCTACAATTAAAAGCTCTACTGATAGATAACTCGATCACTAACAGTAACCAGACTTTAAAGACCTCAGCGACGAAATTTGAACGACAATGTATGTCAGCAACACCTCCGAAAAAAGCGCTGTCCACCTGCTACGACGGCCTAGAAAACCCCAAAACAGAAGTCACATGGAAATTCATGAAGGACTGGCAGGAAGACCTCCAAGAACAGCTCTCCCCAAGTGAATGGGAGGACCTATTCACAACACACGAAGGTTTATCCTCATGTGCGGCACATTTTGAAACGTCACGCAAATTGCTATATAGATGGTACATGGTACCCTCACGACTACATAACATGTATCCTGACACACCAGACATATGTTGGCGCTGCAACTCACACAGAGGCACAATGTTACACGTGTGGTGGACCTGCCCCACTGTGAACGAACTCTGGACAACGACGGAACATATGATACAAGATGTTACGGGATACACCTTGTCCCACGAGCCCAAAACAATTCTCCTAAGATCATTCCCTGACAACATCCCCAAACCAGCAAAAAAAATGATATATATCATATTGAGCACAGTCTCCAACCTAATAGCTAGAAACTGGAAGACCTCTACACTACCCTCAACACAGGAAATTAAGACTCTGTTGTCAACAACAGTGGATTATGAACTACAAATGTGGAATCAACTCAAAATAGGGAAACTGAGCCTACCTATGGCCGAGATGTGGCGTACCTACCTGTCAACACAACAGCCACTCCCAAACCCCCCCTAGCCTAATGCGAAAAGAGGCTAAAATGACTCAAGACACTCTAAACCAATGCCACTATGAGTAGCAAAACCTGCCAGCTACTCAAGCGAAGCTATATCACACTACACGACTGAGCTAGACTACAGACACGACTCCCTGCCCAAAGATGTCCTCGTCAGTAACGGACTTCACCAGGGTTATACCCACTACCCTAGCTATGATTCCTACCCCCTGTATCCCTCTCCCCCCCCCAGCCTCGAACCTTAACCACGAGCCCTACAGGGAAACAAGAAATCACGCACTAGACTTTTTACAAGATATCACAAATGGAAGTTGCGAGATGGTTACCGTATACAAATACAGCCCATGGTTCAGGTCCTTAGGAAACGAAATCACCAGATCTCCATTACACCAAAAGCGAATGGAAACACAGGACACCTAGAATAGTGAACACACATAACAAACCATAACGTATATTGTGTCAATCCTATATAAGTTACATAAGTAATATAAAACGCAGCTTACCCTCACACCCTAGAACTGCTGAGAAAGACAAAGAGGCCGATCCAAGGAAACATAGCAATAGACGACAGCAGAGACGGTCCTTGATAGACCCCATGAACAAATGTTAATAAGCTGCCTCGGTATACTAGGTATCCCCAGCTAACCATCCATCAAGATGCCACATAATATAGCAACATAAAGACATGTTTGATAAAAAGAATCACAGTACAAGTGCAATTTCATGAATATCAATGGTAATGACTTGTTTAACACAAAGCAATGTTGTACAAACAGCAATTTCGTGATTTAAACCTTTTGTTCCCCCTTCCCTCTTTACTTTCTGTACCCCTACCCTTTTATATGACAAAACAATAAAAATTGTCAAATTGGAAAAAAAGAAAAGTTCAAATATATATTTTGTGGGAAATCATCTTCATGTCCTCTTCCTTTACCAAATATTGCTAATATTGGTCTAGGCAGCTAAATTGTATCTTGCTCTGGTTTCCAGAGAATTTAGAGTTGGGAAAATCCAGTCTAAAGTTTGATTTGACAGGCCGTAACCATCTGTACTAATGAAGGTTTACTTTGTAGTTTCATTTTATAGTTAGGGTTTGGTTTTGTTGACTTTTTTATAAAGAGATCTTGTTCATTAGCTGAATGGTTTGAAAAACATTGCTTAGATGCGTGAGATGGAGAGTGATAAATACCTACTTCTATATTAAAGGAATACTCCACACACGGTTCTTTGTATCTGGAGTGTGTCGTTTTTTGTTTTTTTAACAGTTTTATAAAAGTTGTGATTTCAGTAGAAATAAATACTTTTAATAATTAGGGTAGAAACTCCTCCTGGCTCTCAATTAACAGCCGGGGAGGTTCTAGTTCCCTTCCTTTAGCTCTGCAGAGCCAATGTAAGGGGCAAGTGTGCTCCTGCATTCCACCTTCTCCGTTAGCTGTCCTGCAGCATCGAGAAGCGTAGGAAAGCTGCAATCGCACCACCAGCACAGGGTGTGGATGAAGCGGCTTCAGGGACTGGATTTAGCACTGAA